CCGCCGCTGCTGCCGCTTTTGCACCGCTTAGTTGGCCGCGGGCCAGAGGCAGGTGGTGGGGATGCTGAGGCCCTGCACGTCCACGGTCTTGGGGATGGCGCAGGTGCCGATGTTGGTCAACCAGTTGTCACCGGCCGGGTCGCTGAGGTGGCCCGCCAGGGACGCGAGCGGGCCCTTGCCGGTGGTCTGGGCCTGCGGGGTTGCATCAATGCAAAGAGCGCGAAGGTAAGCAGCTGCCGCGCCGGTAACAGCACCAGTAGACATCGTGCAGGCACACTCACTCACTACTATAAAGCTATCATACAGACACACACACACACACTCACACATGCACTCACACATGCGCTCACTCACACGCGGCCCCCCACACACACACGTATCTGCAGACACAAACACACACACACACACACAAACACACACACGGAGCTGCCGCCACAAGGCTCGAACCCACAGCCGAAGGCACCATAATGGTGGCGGCTGCAAAGCCACAGGATCAGCGGCCCTGACGAAACCCGTTTCTCCTGCAATCCCGCTCACCTGGAAGGCGAAGCCGATCCACGCGATCATGGCCAGGCGGCCGTTCTTGATCTCCTTCGTCTGCAGCTCCTTCAGGTTGCCCTTGCTGAAGCCCAGAGGGTCAAAGATGCCGCCGGGGTAGCCGGGCTCCAGGTTGGGGACGCTGTTGCCCTTGAAGATCGGGTCCTGGGGGGGAGGGGAGGGGGGAAAGGGGAATGTTCAACAGCAGCGAGCGGGTCGGTCAGACTCCACAACAACCGGGCGCTGGCAGCTGGGTGGCCAGCGGGCTGCTGACGTATTACGCGCCTGCTGTCGGCGTGCTGTTGCTGGAAAAATATATGCGCCATGAAGCTGACGCCAATCCCCAGCCAGCCTAGCTGTGCTTGAGATGATGCAGCATGCTGCGAGCAGCCGCTGCGCCATGTCACTTGTAAAGGCGCAGCCGCCTTTGACAGCAGCCCACGACACCAACTAAAGTCGTGCAAGACCAGAAACCGCATCCTGGATCCATAGCCACTGGTACGCCAACGCCGCCCGCATCCTGCCCCCATGCCGGCCCCACAACATCTCATCGGTCTGCCAACGCGCAGCTGCGCACACCTCGTTGACGGAGCCGAACTTCCGGATGTCCTGCCACCTGCGGACCTCCACCCAGTGCATGAGCAGGAACTCGATCGCCAGCAGGCCGCCGAAGTTGACGTTGGTGAAGGGCGCCGGCAGGTTCTGCGGCAGCGCGGCCTCGGTGTACCAGTTGATGCTGGGGTTGAGGATCTCCTGGCCCAGCACACCCGCGGCGCCCAGCATGGCCCAGCGACCGTGCACCAGCTCAGCCTGCCTGTGCCTGTGAGCGGGAGGTGTGCGTACAGATGGGGAAGTGATGGGTTTCGCTTGTGTGTGGCGTGAAAAGCGTGCTGCTCTGCGCTGGGCGTTTGTTGCCAGCAACAGTGCTCCCTATCTGATGCTTAATGCGACTGCAATCATTCCCAGGTAAAGCACTGTCTGTAGATGTGCCAGGTGCCGTTGCAGCCCTCATGCCATGTCCGCCCCGGAGGCGCCGAACTACATGGCGCCCGACCCCCGCCCCTGCTGCCCGAAAGCCTCGCACCAGGCCAGAGCCTTGGGGTCCGCGCCAAGGCCAGCAGGGTCAAAGCCTGAGGGTTGGTGCACGCGATGGGGAGCCGTGCTGCGTTCGAGGGAGCAGCACCCCAAAACCGGGGATCCACGGCATGCTCAAGATTCAGCAGCCCTTGTCAATAGGAAACAAAAAGCTTCATACGACGGAAAAATCGATCCAGGCGCGACCAACGCGGGGTTGATCACTCACCCCTGTCCCCGGGCAGGCTGCCATCCAGCCACGCGGGAGCCACAACGCCGGGGGCCCACAGGGCACGCTCAGCGCGCACGACAACGCTGCGAGAACGGCTGGCACGGGCGGAGACCCCGCTCCGGCCCAGGGCCTGCTTGTGAAGCATCGACATCTCGGCTGATTTGAAGAATGAAGGGCGTGCGGGGTGGCACGCACGCGGGATGGATGAAGGAGAGGCGAGGACGAGTTCTCTCGTCCGGAGCGGAGGGGCTGGGAGGTTTTGACGTGCCGGGAGATCGGCGCCGGAAGCCCAGCGGGTGCCGGGAAACAAGACAGTCTCGGTGGCTGCTCTTGCAGCTGCATAGGGTCTGGTTGAGTGAGAATATATCAGAGGATTAGATGCTTCTGTAGCGTCCGATTGTGCCTGCTCAGTAGCCGCAGTTCAAGGCACATTGTCTTGCGGTCCTGATGTCGCCAAGCACCACGAAATCTTGCAGTCGTGATCGTTTTGCCTGGCACTGCGCGCGTTACTCGACCGTGCCTGCGCCAATGCGAAGGTTTGTATGTATGCTTTCGGTTCACTACGCCTCGCTTAGGCATGGAATGACCAACGCGTTCAAGCAGCATGGCCCTTTGACTTTTGCTGTGCAGGCACGCACAACGTCATGATCTGCGTGACAAGTCACAACAACTGCTGGCTTGATAAAGTTGCAAACAAGATGGCATGAAGATAAAGTTTACAGGTCAATATATCGTGGCACATCGTCTAGGCCGGGTAGCAACACGTTGTATCAGCCCGGCCACCTCAGCCCACATGTGATATCATTGCAGCCAGATTGCAGCAATGATTTTGAGCGTTGAATGGACCGCACCACGACTCATCGCCCGGGTTTGCGTTGCATTTGTGATATGCTGAATGTGCTCTCAGCGAATGCAAGGCCTCATTGTGCCGTAGCGCGTTTCGTTGTGCTGCACAGCACAGGTATGGGACGTACAGTACACGCTCCAGCTCGAGCTGCCCGCGGCCTCTAGTAACGTGACACGCCACGCGCCGCGCAGCTCAAGCAACCAAATGAAGAGAGGCGTGAAATAACAATTGCTTGTCCGTGGCGGAACCTGGAACTCTGATCTGGCAGCTGCCGCGCCGCTCAACAACAAGAGGGCATCGCCGTGACCATCAGTGCAGTGCTGTTCGAGGGTTTATTTAACATATCAATGGCTTTCCTCCAGCGCACGCTCTAGAGCACCCCGGCTCTGCATGCTCGTTCTGCTGTTGTGAGCCCGTCCAGCAGCCTTTTACGGACAAACGGCTACTAGCGATTATACAGCGTGTTTTTAGCCGCCACAGGGCTTGCCGGCCACTGCCTGGCGCACAGCGCGCCAAAGCAGCGAGCGCTGCACGCGCGTCGACTGCCTCCGACACCCTCGGCGAGGGGCGTGCGCACGGCGCTGCGGCGCGTGTGAACAGTAGGTGACGCTCGCGCCAACGAGCGCAGCCCCTAGCTTGTTCCCCTTTAAGGCCCGGAGGCTGACGCGTGCCTCCCTCGGAACCGCGCACGCGCACGCCCGCGGCGCCTCATACCGCCCGACCCGCCGCCCGCAATGGAGATCTATGGCAACGCCAGCACCTTCAACCTCGAGAACGTGCTACGCCAGAACATCACGGCATGCGAGTACTACCGAAGGGACTGCACCGCACTGGCAGACTGGCAGTCTGTGATCGACGAGATCTACAATGCAGTGGAGGACGTTGAGCCATGGATTGGCGGCAATGCGCGGGGCCCCTCGTCCGCGTTCTGCCTCCTGCACCGGCTGTTCACGCTGCGGATGTCGATTGAGGAGGTGTCGGCCACGCTGAACCACGCAGACTCACCCTTCATCCGCGCGGTGGGTTCCCATGGGCAGCGCTGCTCCAGCGGGGGCCAGGGCATTGTATAGCGAGCTGTGCCCATGGGCAGGCACACGGTAGCCAAAGGTGGCAGGCACGTGGCAGCTGCACGTGGTCCCTGGCGTACAGCTGCCGCCCTGCCGGCCCCTTGGCCCGGTTTGCAGTTCGCTTGGCTGTTGCCCTGGCTGGCCCTGCGCAAGCCTCAATGCCTCAACCTTGCCCCCTCCACCCACCCTAGATTGGGTTCCTGTACCTGCGCTATGTGTGCGACCCCCGCAACCTGTGGAACTGGTTTGAGGGATACGTTGAGGACAAGGAGGTGAGGCAACAAACTTGTGCAGGATGCTGTGAGGCCTTAATCTGCCGCCAGAAGTATGCTGCCATGCAGGCGCTCATGACTGCTGTCACGGCCTGGCCAGGGCGAAGGGTAGAGCGCTGTGGGTCCACCGTCTGTCACCCCTGCGCCATCCCCACCCCACCTGATCCAGGAATTCAAGCCATCCCGCTGGGCCCCCGCTGTCACAATTGGCGATTTTGTGAGGGACCTGCTGCTGGACCAGGTAGGGGGCTGGGTGGCGATGAATTGTTGGGGACCATGCAGCGTGTGCGGGAGCGGGGTCCTCAAGGGGTGTTGCCCACTGGTCCGGCACGCAGCCCCTGACTGGCGCCGGGCTATAGCGTGCCCCTCATCACCTTGCCCGTCTTAAGGCTCGTTTAGACCAGCCTTCAACGGCCACCCTGCACACCCACCCTGCACAAACTAATCTGCTTCATCACCTCCTGCCCACCCCCTGACCCACCCGTCATGCCCCCACCCCTCCCCCTGCTGCAGTACTACTTTGAGACCATCTTCCCTCGCATCCCCAAGAAGGTGCAAGATGACATCAACGCAGCCCTCCAGGCCCGCGGCCTGCCCACCACGGCCAAGGGCAATGCCGGCACCGGCGG